GACTATTTTATCTCAACTAAAAACCTTAATTAATTTTTAAAAAGGATTGAACTCCACACCCACTCCATCATTCATAATTCTATTACTCTTAAAATTAAAGTGTTCTCATCGGTTTGTAAGCTATAAAAATTTAAATAGTTTGCTGTTGAATTGACATTAAAAATCAAAGGGATGCAACGGAAATGCCCACAGTAAGCTTTTTTCACAGTAACTTACAACGAATATTCAACCGGATTCTATACAAAGACGAAATCCCGAAATTCTAGAAGAAGAAGAAGATGAAGAAAATTAGTTTTATTCTGGTGCTTTGGGCTCCGTTAAATAGCAAAAATGTGTTTATTCATTAATTATAAAGTAAGTTTAAGTATTTAAACATTTGGTACATGTCAAAAAGAATACATAAATAAAAATTGAAATGTAATAGCATAAAACTGTGGCAGATTAAGAAAGAATTCCCTGGTCCACCTACAACCGACAAGACTACGCATAGGTCATACAAGAATAACGCATGGGCACCTTCTGGCCGGGCGATCGCGTAGTTGCCCGTTATGCAAGAATAACGGTTCAGCACCTTTTCAATTTTAGAAGGCTTGATGTATATAGACAATATTTTGGCATATCATCGGACCTGTAGCCTTGGGGGACGGCAGCGGGCACAGATTTCCAGTACCTCAGTGCTATAGGGATTTTTAAATGTATATAGTTTTTTTTATGTGTGTTTGTGTTGTGTCTTTGTTGAATTTGTGTTAATTTATTGGAATGAATTTAATTCATTATGCCATGGAGGTTGTCTGTGTGGCCAATTTTTACTACACTGTAAAAATCATAAATCGAAATAAAACTAGATTTGAAAATAGTTAAAATTAGCTTATTATAATTTTAACTGGTTGTGAGAGTAAGTTTCATCAAGTCATAACTGGATAGGGACGTGGCATAGGTCAAAATATCTTCAATCGAATTTCTTGGGAACATTTTAACATTTTTACACAAACTGGCTGATAAGAAAATAAATTGAACGACCTTACTCAGGTTAAACGATTCGTTAGAAATTGTGAAAGAGTACTAAAAGGGTTTGATTGTTGAAAGTCATCGACGGTCTGTCTCAGCACTCCGGGGGAAACATTTATGGAAGATTTGATACGAATTGAATCTCACCTTTGAACCCGAATTTCACCTGAGCTCCAGACAGACACGTGTTGGCCGGGGATTTAAAAATTGCAAGGGGTCAGTGCGAAAGACGTCTGGCAACGGGTAAGAAGATAATAGGCGAGAGGTCCTTTTTAGTCTTCAAGTAGGCCTAGAAATTAGAAATACAAGCGAAAAGTGAAAACGCGCTGGTCCAGGAGTCTTCCTCGGCCACGAACGTGTTTCTCCCTAACAAATCAAACTTTTTTTCGGGCGTGGCTATTAATTAACAGTTCGTCTTGGTAATAAGAGAACCAGATCTGAAGATAACTCATCTCGAGGCCCTCCCTTCTCGCCTAAATGCAATCTAATCCGAGTAAAATACGATCTTAATATCCGATTTCTTTTTTTTTCGACGCATCGAGAATAAAATTGAAAATTTGATCACAGGCCGTAAAGAAATTTCATGAAGACTCCTCTACTCAATATTCCAATCACTTGGATTCCTGAATGCATTTATCCCTTTACAGTTATTCCGTAATTTCGGGCCGACTATTGTAGTTACTCAAAAGGTACTGATTAGTGACTCACGTTATTACCTAGCCCGGAATGAGTCACTTCCATGGGACACCGAAGACGGGACGGTCAGTGACGCTACTAATCATTTCCAGGCAATCCGGCTGTCGAGTCACTAGTGGCTTAAGTTGCTCATTTTTGGAGTTTCTAGACAGACGAACAACATGTGAATATATTGAGAGAGAAATCCAAAAACGACCGGTTTTATACAACTTCGTAACGCAAAATCTTCTACAGCACATTACTATAACAGCATCAGTTAAGTCATCACTGTCAAGAATAAAGAATGGATGAGGTTCCTTCCAAGATTTCACTGAAGAAACTAACGATTTCGATATTTTTTTTAGTATCTTGGTGTGTCATTACTGAGTTACTAACTGATTAGCGATTCCAGTCACATACTAGTTCCGTTTAATTTGAGCAGCTACGTACAATAGCCACAAGTACTATTGTACACTTTCAAAGAGGTCTGTTCGCACTGACCACTTCCTTCATTACAGCAGCAGGAGTTCCTCAGGGCTCAAGACTGGGTCCGATTCTGTTTTCTACTTTTCTAATTGCTTCGCCAAAACCCAAGTTCTCTCAACTAGGGCTGACGTTGTGCTTCACTGGTCCTCTTGGAAAGTGCTATAACGAGTTAAATAGGTCACCAAACTAGCTGCTGGTGGGAAAAAAGGGCCAGAGGCGACGGTGGGAATCGAACCCACGACCGCGGTAGCCGAGTGGTTAGCATGAGAGACTCTCACGCCGCGGTCGTTGGTTCGATTCCCACCGTCGCCTCTGGCCCTTTTTTCCCGATAACCCCCAATTTGAACACACAAAAATTCTTACCATGGCTAAATATGAAAGATCATAATGCCAATAAAAAAAAATAATAATAATAAAAAAAACAACTAGCTGCACTCTGTACAAATGCAGACCCTTGCTGTACAAAGTGTTTAGGGAGTCTTTAGGCTCAAAAACCATAACCAACTTTGGTGTCAAACCGGATTCAGAACTAAATTTCACGTAACATGCAAAAAAATATAATGGTGACAGACAAAGCAGCTAGAGTCCGTTACTTAAGAAAATCAGCCATGAGCATAAAGAACAAACTCGTGATTTACAACATGGCTAGCAAATACATGTTACTAAAACTCTAAGTTACAACATATATTCATAAACTTCTGCGTTCGCCACTCGTTCTATTAGATACATCAAAAATTACTGCCTGGCATGAAATAATAATAACAATCATTCAATTAATTAAGGTTTTTAGTCGAGATAAAAAAGTCAATGTTACGCACACCACCTAACTAGATTACACGACATTTGAAAAATGGCAAAAAGGAGGGAAAATTCAAAAGGTGGGGTTGAGATGGGAAGTTAGTGTCCGAGTGGATCGAGGTCACGATAGCTCAAGTGGTAGAGCAGCGGCGTATCTAGCCGAAGATCGTGGGTTCGAATCCCGCTCGTGACACTGACTTTTTTATCTCAACTAAAAACCTTAATTAATTGAAAGATATTAATTGGTCAAGCGGACCACGAAAACTAGTGAATTGAATAATAACAATAATAAGTTAGGGAAGAACTAAAAGCGGCAACAATTCTTGACGGGTATACAATAATAAAAAAAAAATTATGTCGTTCCATCGGAGCATATTATGCATGTTGTATGAAATACAACGATTATTCTTGTTCCAATTAAAAGACTGGAAGGTAGAGTGCAGTTTAACTAACCATTTTTGCCAACAGTTGACATGACCTATGACATTGCTGACTGCTGCCCATCAGCGCTTAATTCTTGCATATCCTTCGAACTAGTGCAAAATTTTATTCTTCAATATTGCCTGACTGGACGAGGACCTCATATATTTCATATACAAGTCAAGAAGATAAATAAAAAATAAAAATTAAAAAGCCTGTATGGGTGAATGCCATTACATAAACTTAAAAAAGAATACACGGCGCCTAGGAATTAAATTAATGTACGAAGTGTTGCTCTGCATGACCATTGAATTATTTCTTTTCCGTAATCCTCAACACGCTAAAAAATAATAAAGTACGTCAAGTTATAAAACGTCGCTTCGAGATTCCAATAAAAGGCAAATGAAACACACTGTCAGCTACGTCGAACAAAAATAGACGCCGGTGATAACTGTCGTCGTTAAGCAAGACAATCCGAATGACATTCAAAGCAATCAAAGTTGCATGTTTACAAGAAGAGAGAGATGTACAGAGAGAGTGAGAAAGTTCCTTGTCGTAGTGTTCAACCCGCTCATTTGTAATGCGAATGTAAACCGACTCGTGTTAAGTACGGCAAAGACATAACATGAAAGATGGACCAATAATGGTAAAAAAATTCCACTGAGTAAGGAGAGAGCAGGTGTTGGCCAGAGCCCGAGACTAAAGGACACGTTACTCTTTTTTCATTGATCCTTGGATCCGAATATACAATTTTCCCCCTCTATTTATCTATTTTCTTATTATGTCTTCATTTTCAACCCTTGTCGGCCTCCCGGAACACAGGTAGCAGTGATACGAAGTTTATTTACACTTTTTGTGTTGCGAAGGTTTTACTTAAGACGACCCTAGAACGTAAGATTTCTGCCCACGTGTTTAGACGTTTTCCAGTTCAATCAGGTCTGGCATGGCGTCTACATCCGAAACTAATTCCTTCGAGTAAATTTCCAATCCTAAAATCATCCGGATCGATTATATGTTTGGTGTTCCTTAAGGGAGCATCTTAGGTCCGTTACTTTTCAACAGGAGGCACACTTCTCTCAACTCTAACACACCCACCCTTATTTTCTGCAAACCAAGATCCTGTCCTAGTAGTTCGATCCTTTCCAATATCAACAAGAAAAAATACTTCTAGCTTATATGGTCATATAGATTTACGGACTGACTCTGTTCAGGGGAAAAATCAAACCTTAACCTGATCCAACACCTCCAGTCAAAACAAATTCTCAGTTCTTAATTAGTAACCACACACCTCAGACCTTCGAATTCCTCATATTACTTTTACAACCTTACCTTAGACGTCAAATTCCATTCCTAATTATCTCATCGTACTTCCTCATCCGTGACCTTTCAACCCTTATCTTCCTAATTAATCCGTTTTGGACGTTGAGGTGTGTGTCTAACAGCGCGCATAAAACCATTCCGGTTCATGTCACGCAGTCGAAGAGGCTGCCTAATGTTGATCGTCGATGGGTGTCTCACATTCTCGCTTAACTCGCCATTTATGTTGTTTCCTTGTATCTACTTGCTGATTGCGTAAATTTTACAATTAAATAAATCTCATGCTTTCTTTTCAGGTCCTTTCATGGTTGAGCCATAAAGGAGACGACTGGCTGAAGAAACACAACGATCTCGCGACGACTTTGCCCGGTCTGAAGCAGCAGGAACAGGATTTTGAAAAGTTTTACTTCATCTCCATGGTGAGCATATTGTTACAATATATTCTATAGTTAATGCCATTATATTATTTTCATTTATTTAGAAATCGTGAGATGAGATCTGGTGTGATGTAGGTTTCAGAAAAACATTTTCTTTATCGTGCCAACGTTTCGATCTTTATTGAGATCATCTTCAGATAAAGATCAAAACGTTGGCACGATAAAGAAAATGTTTTTCTGAAACCTACATCACACCAGACCGCATCTCACGATTTCTAAATAAATATCGATTAACGGTCACTAATCACCATACATTATTTTCATTGTCCGAAATGAAATTTGTAATCTTCAAAAGGAAAAGTTACGAAAGATTTTAGGGATAGTTCAGAATTATTTTAAGTTTGATAGAATAGTCATACCAGACCATAATTTTGGGGCTTTAAAGCTCATTCTACTGCAGATTTCATTACCTTATATCTAGAACAGAAAAACTGTAAGCGACTGGAGTGTTTTAGATGTTTCTCCTTCGATAAAGAATGGCATGAGAGACAATTAGACAAATTAAAACTATTTTACCCCAGATGTATTATCTGATTATTTAATCATAACTCAAGAAAAGATTTTTCGCAGAGTCTTCTGAGAATTGGAAGCGCTTGCAGGCCACCTTACCAAGGTTACCCCCTTACTAACCAGTGGCTTAAGTTGCTCATTTGGTTTTCAAGATAGACGATCAACATATTGACAGAGAAGTTCAACATCCTGTTTTAAACAACTTTCCTGGATATTTGGAGAAAAACTACAGGAAAAACCATGGCATGAAGTTGGAAGAAGCATGATAATTTTCTTCCATGGTAGAGTAATATGACATCTTCATCGCTTAAATCGTCACTGTAAAGAATAAAGACAGGGATGATGTTCCTTCCATGATTTCACTGAAGAAACTACTGATTTCGATCTTTCTTGAGTATCTTCGTGTCCACATCACTAATAAGTTACTAACTGATTAGAAATTCCAGGAGTCCAGTCAAACAGTTCCGTTTATTTTGAGCAAATACGTGCATAGCCACAGGTCTTGTACACTCATACTTTCAAAAGAGGTCTGTTCGCACTGAACAACTCACTTTCGTTATAGCATCAAGTGTTCCTCAAGGCTCAATACTGGGTCCGACTCTGTTTTTTATTTTTCTAAATGCATCGGCCCCCAGGTTTTTTCAACTAGTGCTATACGGCGATGACACTGCTCCTCTTGAAAATTCAATGTGATAAAATGCTTAGTTGAAGGAATTCCTTTTGACCGGTCCAAAATTATAACATACCTGAGTGTCAACAGGATTCAGAACTCAACTTCACCGAACATGTAAAAATATTTTGGGAAAAGGCAAAGCAAAGACCTGTTCAGATTAAGATCAGCCATGAACACATCATGATCCACGACATGGCCGTCAAGCAGTTACTCTATGCCTGTACTTCTTGGAGTCACACATGCCAATCAAATATAAAACTCATGCTTATACAAAATAATCTTATGTGCTTGCCACAGTTCTATTAGATTCGTAAAAATAACTGCCTTGCATGCCACGGAAGAGCTACAAGGTGCCGGACTATGGCATGAGGGACTATTATACAAACTAAAATTATTCATACCCCAAACTTTCTGATATATAAAAAGCGCTTGCGGTGTACCACAGGGGTCAATACTCGCTCCGCTGTTGTATACAAAAACTATATAGAGAATTATGTCCAGATTTACGGCCAAATACTCAAAGATTGCGAAGTTTTCAACCGTAGATTTTACGACTAATTGTTTTTACCCCTTCCTCTATAATAATAACAATAACATACTTCACTGAAATCTTCTCATGTCAACTGTTTTTCCTCCATCACGACTGCTGTTCTGTCACTTGTCAAGTAAAATTCACAGTTAATATTGTGTGTAAAAAAATGCGCAGAACTTTCGATCAGCTGGTTCTTCATCATGTTCTCATAACGGAAAATAATTTATTACGTTCGTATAAAAGATATGCGAGAGTTTGGACAGTTTCATTAGTCCAGGCTTTATAAGGGAATGAAACTGTGTAAAGGCAAAAGGTAAACGCGGCGACTAGGCTGTAAATCACGCTCCTTCCTTGAACCGAATTTATGTTGAAAACATAATTTAAAATACAGTTATTTGAATGTACAAGTAAACTGCTTTATGTATTGACTTGAATAGAAATTCCTAAATTTACGGTGTCACGGATTGTAGACGAATCCTCAAGGTTGAATAACGGAGAAAGTTATAAGTTTTTATAAAGTTTGTTTATATCCAGCGTCTTGTATTTTAATTCGAATTGTTGCATTTTGTCAGAAAACCGGTAAAAGAGATGTCGTACAAGAATGTTTACAGGTTGTGGACATCGAGGCGCGATAGGTCGCATGCTTAAAAATGTTGGCATGCCATCTCATTCGAAACGTGGCCTGAAGAAAGTCAGTACTAAAATGCCAGAAACAAGACCGGCCTTTCGACTTACTTCGAATTATACCAGAAGAAAGGTGAAAATATCCGTGGAATTAAATTACAAGCCTTCGTGCGAAATGATTATTATCATCACACTCGGGATTTAGTTTGATTTAATCGGCGAATTAATGGGAAATGATGCACTATTAGCCTTGCGAAAGTGCGGCATTAAAGTAATTCAATTTTCCGCCAGCATTCCTTTCTCATACACGAACTGACATTTTACACGACAGGGGGGAAAAAAATTTGGCCCTCAAAAAAGAAAAAAATCAATCGTACAGATTTTAAAACTGCGTTTAGATTCCGTAAAAATAAGTATATAACACAAATTTCATCATTTTCAAAGAGAGTTTATTGGTGAATAAGTAAGGTTTTAATTATTGGCTGTCGAGGCACGGCGCATTTTGGTGCGCGACACGACGCGAACAAGCGCCGTGACACTCGCTACACGCGTAACATATTGCAACGCAGTTCCGTACTGAGCTCGAACATTAGTTACGCGTTTATTAATTTTAAAGTCAGATAAGATTATAATTTATAATTTTTAATTTATTACAATCTGGGGATTACGTTATTTAAATAACATTGGAAAAACATACTAAACTTTTTTTAAAGATTACTTCAAGTTTAAATAATAATTGACTCTTTAATGATGACACGATGCCAGCAAGCAATACGCGTGGATTTATTTTAAAGTCGGATAAGATTATAATTTATTGTTTTTAATTTAATTTAATTAAAAANTTTAAAAGATTACTTCAAGTTTAAATATTTAAATAAAAATAGAAATATAGTTGTATTAAAATAATTCACGCGTAACGTTGTGATGCGCATATTTTAACGCAGTTCCGCTACGCGTTTATTTATTTTAAAGTCAGATAGAGTTATAATTTATTATTGCATTGTTTTTGATTTATTAAAATCTGGGAATACGATATGTAAATAATATTGGAAAAACATTCTAAACTTTTTTTAAAGATTACTTGAAGTTTAAATAATAATTCACCCTTTGACCAATGGTGACAAGACGCCAGCAAGCAATACGCGTTGATTTATTTTAAAGTCGGATAAGATTATAATTTATTGTTTTTAATTTATTAAAAACTGGGGACTACGATATTTAAACAATATTGAAAAAACATACTGCACATATTTACGTTTTAGTGGTCAATTACCACGTTACTTCTTTCAATTAATTATTCCTTCTACGTAAGGTCTTGGATGAGATAAAAAAGTCGATGTCATGAGCGGAATTCGAACCCACGACTTCGGCTAAACACACCTCCATATACCACATATATTTAACTTTTTTTTAAAGATTACTTTCAGTTTAAATTATAATTCAACATTTAATGATGACAGGAAGCGAACAAGCATCGTGACACACGCTACGCGTTTATTTATTTTAAAGTCAGATAGGATTATAATTTAGAATTTTATTGTTTTTAATTTATTAAAATCGGGGGACTACGATGTTTAAATATTATTGGAAAAACATACTAAACTTTTTTTTAAAAATTACTTCGTTTAAATAATAATTCACCATTTAATGATGACATGACGCCACCAAGCGCTACGCGTTTATTTATTTAAAGTCGGATAAGATTATAATTTTATTGTTTTTAATTTATTAAAAACTGGGGACTACGATATTTCAACAATATTGGGCAAACATACTAAACTTTTTTAAAAGATTACTTCAAGTTTAAATATTTAAATAAAAATAGAAATATAGTTGTATTAAAATAATTCACGCGTAACGTTGTGATGCGCATAATTCAACGCAGTTCCGTACGGCGCATGAACATTAGCTACGATTTAATTTATTTTAAAGACAGATAAAGTTATAATTTATAAATTGATTGTTTTTAATTTATTAAAATCTGAGGACGACATTTAAATAATATTGGAAAAATATACTTACCTTTGTTAAGATTATTTCAAGTTTAAATAATAATTAAAACTTTTAGGCAATTAGGACGGAGTGTAATGTACTTTACACTTCTTATATGATACTTATATTTGCTTTAAATTGAACAAGAAAATACTATCATAAATAAAAGAAGAATCATCATTCATTAAAAAAGTCGGTGTCATGAGCGGAATTCGAACCCACGACTTTCGGCTAAATACACCTCCATATACTACATATATTTTACTTTTTTTTAAAGATTATTTTCCGTTTAAATAATAATTCACCATTTAATGATGACACGAAGCAAACAAGAATCGTGACATACGCTACGCGTTTATTTATTTTAAAGTCAGATAGGGTTATAATTTATAATTTTATTGTTTTTGATTTATTAAAATTTGGGGAGTACGATATTTAAATAATGTTAAAAAAACATACTAAACTTTTTTTAAAGATTACTTCAAGTTTAAATAATAATTCACCCGTTAATGATGACACGACGCCAGAAAGACAGATAAAGTTATAATTTATAAATAGATTGTTTTTAATTTATTAAAATCTGAGGACGACATTTAAATAATATTGGAAAAATATACTTACCTTTGTTAAGATTATTTCAAGTTTAAATAA